ACAATGCAGTCTTTGGCAAACAAATGGAAAATGTTCATAAACATATGAGAGTAGAATTACTCTGAACAGAAGAGGATAAAAAATCAGGCGTTTAGCAAGTTCACCATTGTATGTAGGCTTTAAAGTATTTGAAGGAGGGATTACAGCAATTCACATGTTAAAGAGCACAGTAACTTTAAACAAACTAATCTATATAGGATAAGTAATTCTCGACATTAGCAAAGTCATGATGTTCAACTTTTGGTACGATTACATAAAGTCTTATTATGAAGAAAAAGCTCGTCTACTTTATATACAGTAGATACAGACTCGCTTATCATGTAGATAGAAACTGAGGATATCTATAAAGATCGAGCAGAAAGATCAGACATTTTCAATCTTAACTATTCAGGAGACTTATTTCTAATAAAGAATGAGATAAAAGGAGATCCAATAGGTGAATCAGCATACTTAAAGCTAAAAATGTATTCAGTTCTTCTAGCAGGCTATAATTCTAAACCTCCTAAAATAGATGCAGATTTTGAAAAAGAGTTAGAAGAAGAAGAATTTAGAAAATCTCAAGGTATAAAATATTGAAAGAAAAAGCATGGCATTCAAAAGGCAAAGGGTATAAAGAAATGTGTGGTCGAAAGGGAACTTTGACATGACAAATTTCTAGAATGTCTTAGAAACAAGAGACTAACTTGGCATGATATGTATGGCTTCTAAAATTATGATCATCAAATATATCTGGAGAAGGTAAATAAGATAGAGTTGAATCCTTATGATAATAAGCGTTGAATCTTACTTGATAGAATTTGAATTCTCCCATATGGACATTGGTGAATTGGATTATACAAATGCCTAGTAGCATCTGGAATATCTTCTGAAAAAGTAGAAGAAAGGGCTATGAAAGTTAGACTTCGAGTCAAGGAATAGATACTTTATAACAAATATTTTTTCTGAGGATAAAAATTATCAAAGAATATAATTTTATTAATCAAGTTTTTCTTTTATTATAATAGAAATAATACAAAATGGTCGATCATAAAGATATAAAACTTGTGCAAGTCAAAGTTATAAAAACTGCATTGTGAAAGGGCAAAAAATATGATAATCTTGCGAAAAACTATGGAGACTATCTAAAGAAATTGTGAGCTAAAAAGAAATCTGAATAACTATATTAAGATAGTTGCAGTCAAGATATTTTCTAATGAAGAGACATACACTCTAAAGTTAGAAAATTATCGCAAAAGGTATATGAATAATGATCTGTGTGCTAGCTTAAAGGAATTATATAAGCTTTATTATGATATAGCTAAGGAAGAGAATCGCGAAAGGTCAGATGATGAAATAGAACAGATGCTTAAAGCAATGGCAATCTAGTCATCTAGTGAATGATATATATATGCAAGTAGAAAGATGTTGGTTATAGCGCTAACATAATATTTTAGATTTTTTTTCTGGAGCAATAAATATTCAGTTTATTTTTTTTCTAAATATGAAAAATGTCTTCTAAAAAGTATCATACATATTATTCAGAAAAAGAAAAGGTAGATGCTATTCAAGAAATCAAAAAAAACATTATAGCGTTAGAACATGATGTAACTAAAATACATTAAAATCTTAAAAGTATTAGCCGAGAAATCTGTTATCTATATAATGCTATGACCAAATCATCTGAGTCTAGTTCATCTGAGTCTGAAGTAGAGATAGTTGCATCTGAGTGCTATTTATCCGAAAAAATGAAAGTCAAATGCTATAAATTAAAAAAAATATCAAGTGATCTCAGAGAAAACTCACGATTTTAAACCACTGAAATTTACCATTATACAATCCAGTCAAGTATGATGCTAATCTTATATGCATAAAAACATTAACTGGATGCTGATCCTGTGCAATTAGACGAACTCAGATACAATGTTCATCAGTATTTCTTGTAGATCATATTTCTATTAGTTGGAAGCGTGAAGAGTATTCACGATTATCATATAACACAGGGGACTTTATAACCTACTTTTTTTTCTCAGGAAAACTTTGGTGATTTTATTAATATATCATGCTGAATTTCTTACCAAACTATCAGAATAATAAAACTTATAAGAAGCTGAAAGACCAGAATTACTTTGAAAAATAGCATATATTTAGGGGATATAAGCATGGATGTAAGATTTGTGAGGAATGTGATTATCACTCACATCTGTATTGCAAAAGGTATAAGAAGGCGGTGGAAGGAATTTATAAGCGATATAAATGTTCTCAAGTAATTTGATCAATAAAGTGATAGTGCAAATTTACCAGACATTTTTTCAATCAAGTTTATTGTAGCTTGATAAATAAATACGCAGTAATATTATAATAATTATTATATGTATCACAAGAACAAGTAATTACGCAAAATAATTTATTCTCAAACTTTCTCAAAAATATGTATAGCCCCTTGATGATCTTTACATATGGATTTTAAATAGCATTAAATTAAGGAGAAGCTGTTAATCAGATTTTCATAATGTGATCATATTAATGTAATTTTTCTCTAAGCGTACTCCAAGATTGATTCTGCAAATTATATAAAAAGGTGATGTCCTGTTAGTGAATCCTTTTATCTGCCTCATTATTATCTAAAAATTCCTATTCAATCTACCAATAAATACATTTCTCAATAAAATATACTGCGCATCACTTTATCTAAGCATGTCTAGTTTAATATCATTCAACTCTTTAGAAACTATATCATTTTTGAAATTATTTGTCATTTTTTTGTTCATTAGTCTAGTGATATTTGTAGGAATCGTCATCATGTAAAATAAAAGATCTCTGATGAACTTTTCACACATGTCATCAAAATTCTCATCGATCTTGATAAACTAAATAATATATCAGAAATCAGAAAGATATCACTTCATGATAGTAAACTAAATGATTCCTAATTTATGCTTTCATTTGAGAGAAATATGTGATAGCATCATTATGCATTACAAAGACTTATACATTTGTTTGACCTGAAAAAATAAAAATTTATCATATAATCGCTATTGCAAAATGATTATATAAATATGCACATAAGTATATCATGCGAATTTTTTGTTTTATCTTCTTTGATGATATGCAAGGATGAGTTTTATACTATTATTATATCATTATCTGAATGTTTTTATTATTCCATTTATTTAATATATTCATGATGCATGTAGTTACGCTAATGATTTATTCACAAAGAATATATGAGGCCTTTGCAATAGAAAGGGAGGAAACTCTAAAAAAATTAAAATTTTAGTTTATAAGCCAAAAATGTTCCAAATACTATAATTTGTTCAGATTTATTATTAACTTATTTTTTATTTTTTTTTGAGTTTCCTCTCTTTCTATTGCAAAGGTCCCATATATGCATTTATCATGAGAAAATTAAACATATCTTTTAAACATAATATAAATATAACCATAAGCGAAATATTAAAATATTAAAGTAAAATTTTCTTTAAAGACCTGTCCTAATTTGTGTCAGCGTATCATCCCTATGAAAAAAGAAATCTGAAAATATTCAAAACAGGCTCAACATATCAAACGTTTTTGGTATTTTATATAGAGTACTACTTTACTATATGCTCAAGAAGAGTGTGCAATAAAAAGAGGCCAAGAAAACATTTTTTGAGTTTGATCTGAAAATCATATTTAGCATATAAATATAAATTTGATTTTTTTTCAATTTAAGTTTTCAAGGTCTTTCTCAGTCTCAACATACAAGTTAATTATTTTTTATTTTTTACTATTATATATTTACTTATTCATTAAACTTATTATTTTTTAAAAAATAGAACTGTTAGATTTTAAGTCTTTGGCTTTAATCGAATTTTGGTTTCTTTTTGCCTATTAGGTAACTTGTAAAAAAATAAAATTATAAATGTTGTTGAAGCCTCATTAACTTAATTAATCTCTAACTGGATTATTTTTTCTAACTGTTTTTTTTTTTAATTGGTTGACAAATCTTTCTTAAGAAAGCTTCTAGTCTCTAAGTTATTATGATCAGATATTATTTTACCAATGAAACTGATACTTTATTAAGAATTAGCTTTCAATACAGTCACAGTGATGGATTTTCAAAAAGGATGGAATTTTCTAATTATATGAAGTATACTACATCTATAAACAAAAATCATAGAATAGTAATTGATTCGAAAGAAGAATATTATTTTTATTTAAATTACCTTTCTGGTGATTATCGAATTTATACGACTAAAGAAGGTAAAATTCAAGCTAAATTAATTGATTCTGACAATCTGATATCAAGACAATCCCATGCTAATTTTCAATGAATTTCGTTCACATGTATCAGTTATGGGAACAATTAAATAATGTAGCATATGAAATGATTGAAGATGTTGCTGCACATGCAGTAAACCAATGACAAAATAATTATTTTTTTTTATTTTTTATTTTTTTATTTTATTATTTTTATTTTTTATTATTTCTATTTATTTATTTATTTATAATTATTGTTAGATTTTAGTTGTCATATTTTTTTTTTTACAATAGAATTAGGCTAGTAAGACAGAAACTTGTGGTGTAGGGTCGACCAACTGTGTAGTGTATAACATAAAAATAAATAGTGTATGATATACAACACACAGTTCAAATATTAATTATGTATATATTAAACATTTAAACTGTGTGGTGTATATTATTATAGTGTATATTTTTTTATTTAATACACAATTGCTTTTTAATATTATAACGCGAAATTTTAAAATTAATTAAAAAATTTTTTTTATATAATGCTAAAATTCATACTGAAATATATAAATTCTTTTACAAAGAAAAAATAAAAAGTACTAAGATCTACATATTGTGAAGCAAATAAATGTGTAAATCTATTACTAACTTAGAATTGTTTTCGTTATTATATGATAATTTAATTTTTTATATTATAACTATAATTTATATTTTATAAACGCTTTATTTATTAAATTTTCTTTCACATGTTTATAGCATTTAACGAATAAATATTTATCAAATTTAATTTTTCAAGATTTAACAAATTCTAACTTATACTCCTTTTCAAAATTTGATAGTTCCATTAAATAGACTTTAGCCTCTTGTTCTCTTAGATCAATTTTACGCTCTTTTAAAGCCAGAACCCATTCTTTATATTCAAGTTCACTAATTTTTGAAGTAAACTCATTCTCTTTATCATCATTTTCAGTATCAGAATTAACTACAATGCTTTTTCTAAGCTTTTTCTTTGCACTTTATTTATGACTAATAGGAATTTCGTCTTCAGTATCAGAATTATTTACATTCCCCTTTTTAGATCTTTTCTTACTAGTAGATCATAATTTATGTTTCATAAAAATTGATTTTACCTATGCATTAGCTATATAAGTAATAAATATTTAAATTATTAATGTAAATATAAATATAACATAAAAATAATATCAGTATTACATATTTTCATAATATCCTAATTTACCTTGACATTTATTAGATAGAATATTATGAGCAATTAGACCTTTGTCCCATTCTTAAGTAGGTATATTGTATTTTTGATGAACACGAATTGCATTGAATCTTTCTCTATCTAATTTTCTTCTTCTATGCATATTAATAAATTAATAAATTTAGAATTTACATAAAAAATTAAAAATTTTTAATATATTGCATTAATACATACTGTAAAATAGCTATTACTAGTTTGAGATTTTTTTCATAATGGTTGCTTAAGGCATGGACAGCCTCAGCAGTATTAGTATTATCAGAAGATGTTAACCAAATGTTATTGTCAATCTTTTACATATACTTATTAAGTGATGTGATAACCCACTTTTGACGATAAAAAGAAATCTAATCTAATAAATATAAGAATAAATAATTTATAAAAAAAATTTTTTATTAAATAAACTAAAAAATTTGCTATTAACTAGCAGTATTTTTATCAATTTTTTGATTATTATCAAATAAATAATTGATTGTATCCTCTGATTCAGCTATTAGAATTGCATATATATTATTTTTTACAGTATCGTTATATGGTTTTTCTCTAATTTTTCTATTATTAAAATATAAAAATAAAATTCATTAAATTAAATTATTTTATTAAATTAAAAACATCAATTTTATTTACTTACCTTTATAATATACTTTACAGGATTTAAAAAAATGAACTAAATGTTCTTCCCAATTTCTTGTTTTATCTATTTTATTTAAAACTAATCCTAAACCTTATGCTTGCGTATAATCCAGATCTGCAATAACACAGCCTCAACTTTTTTTATGAATATGCTTAAATTGAGGTGTTGAACCTATTAATTGAAGTATTAAATCAAACAAAGCATGAAAAATCCTCTGATATGCAACTGTTATTGCATGATTAGTAAATACACAGACAAAAGTAAGAACTAAAAATATAAATTATCAAGTTAATTAGCATTTAAAATTACAATTTATAAAAACTAAAATATAAAAACTAATATTATAAGATTTTTTTATACTAATAAATTTTGTAATAAGCAAAAAAAATCATACTTAGATTATGTTGAGGATTATAATAATTAACCTCAAATTCGTTAATTTCACCTGCAACACGTTTGAAAGAAAGATCTATTTGAAAGTGTTCACACTTTGTCCATTCAGATAATTGTTCAAATGTAGTACAGATAATCATCATATGATTATCTTCAAAAAATTCTAGTAAAAAATATTGATACATTAATAATTAATCAATATTATAAAGAATGTAATTATATATATTATATATATTTACCTAAACGCTTTACATATTCACAAAAATTATCAATATTACGTGAATAATTATATATAACTCCTAAAAGACCATGACCTTGTGGATGGATTTCTTTTTGAAATTTATCTATGTAATATTGAAGACGATCTGCATTATTTAGAGAAGCATGAATATCTGCAAGATATTCAGTTCTGAAATAAGTTTTAATTAAATTTCCTAAAAATATAAAATTAAAATTTAATTGTCGTTATTCATTATAAATATTTATACTAACTTTAAAAATTGTATTTATATCATCAATTACTAGTTAATATATGAGGTAGTGTAACATTTGTAGTATTAGCATCTGCTTGTTGAATTAGTTCTTGTAAACGAATATGAATAGAAATTGATACACGGTTAGGCAGTGGTGGTGGATGAGAATGAATACCTTGAGATATCAAAATTACAAATAGGCATTTTTCTAAATTAATAGGATTAATTTAGATAATTTAACATTACAAGATTTTTGAATAATTGATCCACATTTAATAGTATTTTCTGCATGATGAGGATGAGCTATTAAAAAATAAAATTATATATAGATAATTAATTAATAACTTTAAAAGAGTGATAACTAGTAACTGAATTTAATAATAACTTATGATAAAGTTTTTTTTAGAGCTATTACTTAATACTATAAAACAGTTATTTACTGCCCAATAAAAAATTTAATATAAAAATTCCATAAAAATATAAAGTTTTATAACGTATAATTTTTATGGAATTTCAGTATAATGTATACGTTTTTTCCTTAAGTAAAAACCTTAAACTTAATACGGAAAAGTGGAAAAAAACGTATACAAAAATCATGAACAAAACGTATATCTTATAATGCTTTAACAGATGCAAAAATCACGGACAAAACAAATATCTTATAATGCTTTAATGGATGCAAAAATCACAGACAAAACGAATATCTTATAATACTTTAACGGATGCAAAAATTATGAATAAAATGAATATCTTATAATGCTTTAACAGATGTAAAAATTACGGACAAAACGAATATCTTATAATGTTTTAATAGATGCAAAAATCACAGACAAAACAAATATCTTATAATACTTTAACAGATGCAAAAATCACGGATAAACGTATATCTTATAATGCTTTAACGGATGCAAAAATTACGGATAAAACGTATATCTTATAATGCTTTAATAGATGCAAAAATCATGGACAAAACGTATATCTTATAATGCTTTAACAGATGCAAAAATCACAGACAAAACGAATATCTTATAATGCTTTAATGGATGCAAAAATCACAGACAAAATGAATATCTTATAATGCTTTAACGGATGTAAAAATCACAGACAAAACGTATATCTTATAATGCTTTAACGAATGCAAAAATCACAGATAAAATGAATATCTTATAATGCTTTAACGGATGCAAAAATCACGGACAAAATGTATATCTTATAATATTTTAACGGATGTAAAAATCACGGACAAAACGTATATCTTATAATGTTTTAACGATGCAAAAAACCATATACTTAATATAGAAAAGTAGGAAAAAACGTATACAAAAAATAAGGAAAAAATGTAGATATTATAATGCTTTAATGGATGCAAATATTATGGATAAAACGGATATTTTATAATGCTTTAACGGATGCAAAATCATGGATAAAACATATATTTTATATGCTTTAATTAAGCAATTTAAATTTTATTAATATAATAAAAATTTAAAAATTAAAAAAAAAAAATAGAAATTAAAAAAAATTAAAAAATCAATATTTTTTAAATTTTTCCCTTTTTGCACTCCTTGTTCT